TTTCCTCCTACTCAACAAACTCCCTCAAATCCATCAAATGCTTTTTTCCTACTTCTCTTTATCATTTGTTCTCACCTACTGCTGTTAATTTGTGGGTCTTTGTGTCCCTTATTTCTGTTCACACTGTATTACCCTGAGCACAAGCTACCCTGTATTTTTCAGGAAACATATTTAAAAAATATATATTACGAGTATTTTTTGAAAGAATAAGAATTCTACGTTTAAAAAAACTTCCTTACCTATTGGAGAATTGTACTCATGTCAAAAAAAGCAAAGCTAGACTAGGAACTGTGCTTTCTCTTTAAAGATATAATGAATCCACCTGAAAAAAAATCACCAAACAATATAGGATCCAGCCCCAAGAGTTCTGGGAAACTTGGTCTTAGGCTCCTTGAATATTTTTACTGACAGCTTGTATGATACTGAGAACAGGTGTTTATTAGGCATCCATTTGTGGTTTTAATTTTTCTAAAGGAGGTAACTAATTATTTCAAGACCAAAATTAAATTGGCCAAGACCAATTGGTGAAAAGAGTCAGTCATACAAAATAAAGTCACATAGAATCAAACACCTAACTACATTTCGGTGCATAGTATGAAATGCAGGCAAACAAATAAAAATATGAAAAAAATCAGGAAAAATCATGTGGTCCAGAAATCACCATGGTTCAAAAATTAACAAAGGTTAAGACATACAAAGAGGATGAAGAGCTTATTGGTTTCAAAAACAATAATATTGTTTTTTATTACATCTGCACTTGCTCACATTCATATGGGGAAACCAGATAGCTGCCAAAATGAGTATTCATATAAATATAAAATAAAAGACGTGAATACAAAAAGAATATATATGATACATCAAAAGGTGACTGTGCACCATTACTTTTCAATAAGTGAAAGTTAAGGGTTGCAAAGCTGCACTCCTAGGAAAGAAAGATAACTATTTGCAAGGACTAACAACATGAAAAAGTAAATTATACTTCCATGAGAAAAATTTATCTTTATTTTTATCTTTTAAAATATGGATCCAACAATAATTGATTTTAAAATTTACTTTATGCAAGTAAATATAGTTTGTTGTGCCTATATAAATACGTATACATACATGATGGCTTCTGGATAATAAGCTTCTAAATTCTTGAACAATGTATCAACAAAGATTATTTAAATCTTCCCTTACAAGATGTATATCTAGGGCAGTCAACCATTCGTGTTAGATTTATAGAAAGGAGTAGTCAGATTTCCAAATCCTTTAAACTTACTACAAAATTACAAGGTCCAGAGTTTGAGCCATTAGCCTAAAGTCTCAGGCATTTTTATTAAAACTTTCTGCTAGGTGATACATTAACTTAACATGATCATGCTATTCATTAGTTCCTATAATTTAGAATTTAAAAAAAGAAGGTAACTAAAATAAACTTAAAATCCAAATAAAACATCAATATGGGGATGTGAAGAGGAAAAGAGAAATAATATTCAGTTTGAGTTTTCTGAAGCTGTATTTATGATCAAATTACAAATTTCAAAGAATAACTTCCAATTATATTCTTTAATTTCTATTGAATCTGTTTTTTTTTAATTTCTGAGCAAAAAAAAAAAAAGAAAGAAAAAGAAAAAAAAAAAAAAGACTGACCAATCCATGCAAAAAGTTGGAAGATCTATATTTGAATATCAAAATTAATTTCAGTATTTGCAAGCTTGAAAGACAGGAATAGAGTTGAAATAAAATGTGCCTTCACATAGGAGTATGTGGTTGGCTCAGGAGGTAGAGCATTTTACTCTTGATTTCAGGGTCCTGAGTTCAAGGTCCCATGCTGGTTGTACAGATTCCTTTAAAAAAAACTTGCTTTCATTTAAGTTAATAACATAATTTAAAATAAGGCAGAGAAATTATTTAAAAAACTGTTATCAAAACCTAGATAATTCAAAAGATATAAGTGTGAAAATTCATAGTAGCAAGGACAAGAAAGCCATATTCATGTTCTACCTTCCAAGAATAGAAAGTACTTTATAATCATTAAGAGAACTCTTATATTAATACAGATAAACTTTTGTTCAAAAAATAAGAAAATAACAATAGAAAAATATAAATGAAATTAAATTAGATAATAGGAAGAACATAGACTATAATTATTATCATTGAATAGTATGTTTTATTATAATTGAATAGTATGTTTTTAATGCCATAAAATTCCAAATATTTCTATTAAAAATATATCAATCCTATATTTAAAATGTCAAACAGGGGTTAAAAGAGAAAGCTAAATATGTGTAATAATATTTAACAAGAAGACTGCATAAGACTGATATCAAAACACTCCACTTATTACTATAAGATTAGGGTACAGCCTCTCTTTCAAAATTTAGTTGGTTGTTTTGGGTCACTTCAATCTCAGTCCCTAAGAGAACATGAGAGTTAACTTATTAAAGACAAATCTCCCCTCTAATTTTGCTGAATGTTATGAGCTCCGTAATAAAACAGGACTCCTTTTTAATGAAGTCTAAGGAAATGACAAGAACTATGAGAATTCATTGTAATTACTATGGCTACAAGAAAAATCAACTCAAACAAACAACACTAAACTGGCAGGCTGAAGAACTGACTGGTCCTCTCATTCAATAGACAGCAGGACATCATTTCTCCATAATTTTGTTTAGATATAAATTGACACTACATGTCAATTAGTTTTACTCCTAGCACTGACACCTTCTAACAAATCAAAAGTAGAGAATTTTATAAGAATATTATAGATATCATTTTAATTAGATGTTATTTTATCACCTTGTGTTAATATAGCACCCTGCTCCAAATTTGTCAACACCACAAATCTTTTATTGTTTTTAATCAGGACACTCTTTACGGTATATGTGGTACATTGCCTTTACATAAGAATCATTATCAGTGTCCTAAACCACTGTTAGACTGAATACTTCAAATTCATTGTACCTTTGTAAAGAACAAAACAAACAGAACAACAAAACACACACACACACACACAAACACACACACACAAAACAAACAAAAAACTGATACGTAGATTAATTCTAATTATTCTGGCTTTGTTAAAACACAATTTAATAAAGTCTCGAAACATCTAAAATATGTTGCCTCAAAAGATACTTATTTTAATAAATGACTATATATTTGAAAAACTAGAGAACAGCAGTAAATGATCTCTAAAGCCTAATTTTAAATGTCCAATATCCAATCAATATAGTAAACTATTCTTCAGTAAGAATCTCACAGTGACACATAAACATGAGTTCCTTGACATAGATATTTACGCTGTATTAATGTGTTCCTATCCTCCATGTAGGCCTGAACTAAAGAGAGAGATTACATATCTTGATCTATTCATTGAAAGAGGCACATAAAACTAACACCAATGCAATAAAACATGTCTAGAGACAACTGCTTAGCCTAGTCCAAAAACCTCACTTAGTTCAAATAGTGGTCAATAACACATGTGCTAAGTGACATAACAACCCATATGCAGCTCAGTGAAATTAATTATGAAGAACATGGCCTCACATCGTTTATTCATAGTTACCTAAATGAACATGCACATCAAAACTAAGTTGAAAATTTGCCACTAAGCTCTGCAGAAGTTAGTGTGTTTTCCTGTTTATAGTGTATGATGGGGAGTGATAGGGCAGCTGAGTTAAGGCTAAAACTTTACTGAGCAACATGATGAAGAGGAATTCGGGTAAGACCTTATAAATTAATAAAAATGACAGGCGAGCCAAACTTTTTTAGGGCACTTTTAACTACAAAATCAGTTGAAGCTGTGTAAGACAACATATTTGCAGGGTGGCATTGAAATTTCAAAGGCAAAATCTCAAATCTTCATCAGATTTTCATTTTATTAATGCTAAATTCTGAATCTGGCTATGGTTCTCTTTGCAACCTCAGATAAATTTTTAAGATTTTATTTGAGGTCATCCTTTTCAATTTATGAAGAGTTGAAAACTACCTAAGGCAAATGCCTCAGAAAGTTGAATTTTTTTTTAATAAAAAAGTTGAATTGTAAATGACACCCAGAGAGAGAAGTGAGCTTTTTATTTCTTATTCCCAGGCTCTAATTGGATGAATGATAAGGGTGGGCTTTTCTTGTTTGTAGTGGTGCCCTTTAAGGACTAGATGGACCTTATTTTAATAACCACTCCATGAGTAATCTGTCTTAGCATTTACACTGCTGATGGTAAGAAGCAATCTTCTTTAATGGATGCTGAAAAGCTTCAAGTGAAATCTGTAATTGACAAAGGCTTCATAGAAACTGGCAATTAAGAACAAAATTAACAAGAGGCTCCACAGAAAAAACACTCAAGGTTTCACAGAATTCTTCTCTAGGAAAGTACTTAATAAAAATAAAAATCTGAAAGAGCCAGGTGTTGTTTCTTCCACATTATTAACTACTTTTCTGATCACTGCGCTTGTTTAAAAAGATGAGCATATACAGTTCATGTTATTGAATCTAAAAAAATAATCCGCCTGCTAATACTGTTAAGAGGGAAAAAAGAGATAAAGAAAAAGTAAAGAAAAGCCCTAAGTGAAAGTTAAGGCAAGTTCAGGACCTATTTCTTCAAAATAACAGCTGCTCAGTTTTAGTACCTCAAGATTAGTGGAATCGTGTATTGACAACTCAGAAACTCTTTAAAGAGCCAAGCAGCACGGGTAGGGAGAACTAGGCCCTCTACCTCAAGGCTCCAGGAGCCAACACCACTCGGTAAGTGTGACTAGTCAGAAAGTGATACAAGCACATTGCAATTATTAATATAAATAAGAGCACGAGAGTGAGTGGAAAAGGAACAGAACTGGCAGCTGTACTCTCATTGCCCAGTCCTCCACGCCATCCAACTCCACTCCACCCCCTGCGTCCTCAAGGAGGTTTACCTGCGAGACAGGTCAGACTAAGAGCCAGGAGAGAGTTCTCAGGTGAGCTATTTTCCGCCGTCGAGGGTTGGCGGCAGCCAGGTGGGGAAGGGGCGGGTAACACTTACTTTGAGCAGCTTACAGCGGATCTGCGCGGAGACCATGTGGCTGTTGCGCAGGTTGCCCACCCGGAACATGAGCGTGAGTTTTCCGTCCCTCATGGAGATCACCGCGTGCTCGCTAAACATCAGGGTCTCCGCGCGCTTCTTGGGCTGGGACATCTTGATGAACATGCAGCCAATGAGGAAGGCGTCCACGATGGAGCCGAGGATGGACTGGAAGAGGAAGAGAATGATGCCCTCGGGGCACTTGTCGGTAATGTAGCGGTAGCCATAGCCGATGGTAGCCTCGGTCTCGATGAAGAAGAGGAAGGCGGAGGGGAAGTTATAAACATTGGCCACGCAGGGCGTATAGTTGCCAACGTGGGCTTTGTTCAGGTCGCCCCGAGTGTAGGCGATCACCCACCACATGGACGCCATGAAGAGCCAGGCCACCGTGTAGGTGAGGATGAAGATGAAGAGGTTCCAGCGCCACTTGAGGTCCACCAGGGTGGTGAAGAGGTCCGAGAGGTAGCGGCTCGTCTCGCTGCCCAGGTTGCCGTGCTGCACATTGCACCGGCCGTTCTTGTCCACGAACCGCTGTCGCTTCTTCTTGGGCACAAGCTGCTGCTGCGGGCCCTGGCCCGGCCCCTGGGGCTGCAAGCCCGAGCCGCTGGACGAGGTGGTCACTACCTGGTAATCGTCCCCAAATTTCCTTCGGAGTGCAGACATAATACGGAGGGGCGAGCCAGATTCAAAACGCGAAGCGGAGGCGCAGGGGCCGAGCGCTGCAAACCAGCACCAATAAGGAGGTGGGGGCGGGGGAGAGAGGGGGGACAAAAGCGAGCGCGCCCGGGCTGGGGGGCGCACCCGGCAGGTAGCTGCGCTCTTTGCCCCCTGCGGACTCCTCTCTTCCCCCGGGACGGAGGCTTTCTCTCCAAGCTGAGTCTTAAAACAAGAAAGTGTTCTCCCGCACTCAAGGCAGGAGGGATGCAAGGACCAGGAACCCAAGCGCAATTTTGCCTCCAAGCTTTTCCAGGCTTCTCTTTTCTTCCCCCACCATCGGCATCCCGGGCCACCTTTCGCCTTGCCACAGCCCTCCCGACTACCCTGCAGCCCTCCCAAACTGACTTTTTTTAAAATTAATGAGTTGACAGGCGAGTCCCACCCCACCTGCCAACTCGCCAGGCTGCCGAAACTGCGCTACCTGCTCGGTCCAGACCCTCCCCCCTCCCCGCCGCTCCCCGATCGCCCGCCCCCCGGAACCGCTCCCGGCTCCCCCGGCACTCCCGCCTCCTATCTTTTGGCCAAAATCCCGCCCAGAGGCATGTCGGCCGGGCACCGGTGCAACACCCCCCACCCACGCCCTCTGGGCTCAGAGTCCCCGGCTCCGGACTCCAGAGACGCGCCCGCCTGGCGTCGGCGGGCTGCTGAGTTTCCGCGGGCGCCCCCAGGGCCCTCCGGCCGACTCTCAAGGGCCCCCAGGCCGCCCCCGCGCCCAGCGGAGACGCGGCGGTGCACGAAACCGGAGCACTCACCCACCGGGAGAGGGCAGGAGGAGGCGCAGCGGGCGGCAGCGGCAGCCTGGCCTCGCACTCCGCGCTCAAGGCTGTTTTCCTCACCCCCACTTTAACTGGTGCACCACGGTGGGCACCAACGCAGGTCCCCCAAGCTCCGCACCTCCCTGAGGGCACCACGCTGCCCCCACCAGGAGGACCCTGGAGCGCCCTCACGGACTGACTTGGGCGCGGGACTTGAGGGTTCCTTGGCGCCGTGCTCTCTTAGCAGGCGACCGCGGTGCTGCCGTAAAGGGTTCGAGCCTCGAGCTGCCGGTCAGACTTTCAGGTTAAAAACCAGCGCCGCTTCAGCCCTTCTTCTGCTTCACGGTGCCTACCTTTGCCTCTTCCCTCCTGGGCCCCCCACTCCCTGTCCGCGCCTCGGTGGCTCCGGGTAAGATGCGAGGCGCGAGCTGGGGCGGCGGGAGAGCGGTGTATGCGCTGGTGCGTGTGATCAGCTGCAGAGCCGCGCTAGCCCCGCCTGTCCCTGCCTTCCCCCGCTGTTCCACCAGCCTGAATTGCACCTCCGCGCCTCAGTTGAGCCCGCAGTGTCTGACAGCTCAGGAAAAAGCGAACCCCTCCAATGAGGAGCAACTCTACATCCGCTCCCCAAAGCCTGCCAACTCTCCTTCTTCGCCCCCTGCCTCAGGTCGGAAAGCCCCCAGCAAGCCGCGTATGCTGTCCTCTGAAAGAAGTAATAATACGTCTCTGTAACTAGGGCTCTCATCTAAACCGATGCGTGGATCCGGAGATGCACCATGAACAGAGAAACCAACTGGCTCCACCATGGGCATGTTCAGAACTCAAGTTGCAAGTAGCAGGGGGGTCCTTAGGATGGGAACGGAAGGGAGGGGAGACACTAATAAGAAAATTCACAATTCTTTCTGAAAATGGCTCTATTAGAAATGCTCAGAATGTCCACAGTTAATGTGTGGCTGTAAAGGAGGGAGGAAAACTGGACTTTAATGATCCGGAGCCTGACAGTTAACTTAATGGAAGGGCAAAGTGCAGAGATAGTTAACATAGTGCCCATGTGTAAATACCAGCTTATTTACCACATTTCATGTTCGCTTTAAAATGCCATTGTACCTTATGGCATGCTCCATTCAGTTCAGATACATGAAATGGTTCTTCTTGGAAAATCATCAAATTGTGGTGTTATGAAAGCAAAGGGCTTGCTGTAAGACTCACATGCAAATGAAAATTAGTAATCGTAATCGTACTAGTTCTCTGCTAATAGGTACTCTCTTCTACCTCTCTAGCCCTAAACCCTAGTGCAGGTAAGCCTTGCACCTTTTCAGCCATAAGTACAGAACTCTCACTGTCATTTGGTCTCTCTCTGTCATTTGTCATCTATCCCAAGTTACAGAGTGTTCTCCTGCAGGCTCTCTGATAAGAGGTCAGTAACTCTGTTATTCTTTAAGGTTACATAAGAAGGGAAAGTGACACTGTGGGAAGTGGAAACTGCTGTGGGTCTGCAATCATAAGACCTGATTTGAGTCCTGGCCTTGCCATTTACAAACTCTGTGACCTTGAGCAAATAGCTAAACATCTTTGAGCCCCAATCTTCTGCTCTAGAAAAACTGAATTTTAACATTTTCACAATGTTGGTTTTATTAACTATTTTTTGCTGTGAAGGATATTATATACTGGGCGGCAAAGTTGCAACAAGGCCAGGAGATTAGGAATGAGTTTTGGGAGTTGGCCCCATGTTGTTACTAACACATATATTTTCTTCTCATTTCTGACTACTCTCCCCCTAACTCCTTCTGCCCTTGCCAGGCTGGCTTCTTTCAATTCCTGAAACCTACAGAGGCGTAAGCCCTATCCTTGTGCCTTTGGCCTATCTGTTCTCTCTTCTTGCAGTGTTTTTGACCTGCTGTTCTGTGTTGCTGGCTCCTCCAGTCCCTCAGCTCTCAACCTGAAAGCATTCTCCTCAGCGAGGCCTTGGCTGCCTCCCAGGTACCCCCATCACACAGCTCGGTTCATCTACATTTTATTTTCCTGGCTGCCATTTTCTTCATTTGTTCATTCCCTCCACCTCCACCCCTCCCCCCATCACAGTCCTGGCATATAAGCTCTACAGGGGCAAGAACTTTGTCTGTTCTTGTTCTTGTTCTGTCTTGTTCACTGCTACGTCCCCAAATCCTGGGACACTACCGGTCACATAGTCAGGCCACTATCAATATTTGTTGAATCAATAACAGATGTGCCAACCTATAACAAATGTACCAATCTGTATCACTAGGAACTCCATGTACACTGAAACTCTCTCTGAATGATACAGAATTGAAAGTCATCACTAAATCAATTATAGGATTTAATAGAAAAGAATGTGTCCATTTTTAAAAAGCAATATTTTCCATGCTTGTTAACTTTGGAACTGATATTCAATGAGCTGCCAAAAGTTTCTGAATGTATTGCTACAATATCTCTCATGATTTCCCCCTCTCTCTTTAAAAAATGCTTTCTTCAAATCCCCATTTGACTTTAAGCCCCAAGTCAAATGATTTTCTTGTCCTCAGTCTTTTGCTCCTTCAAACTGTCCTAGACAGTATTACTAAATCTGTCTCCTTAGACCCATATAAACTTAGCAATAGAATGGAAACCAAAGAGTTCTCTGATTATTTCGTTTCCAAAATCTTATGCATTCCCACCTTTCAAAAAATACTTCTCTATGAAACCTTTTGCCATTTTCCAACAAATGAACTTAAAAACAAATAACTTTATACTTTGAGAGACATGGTCAAGTTTAATCCTCTCACTTCACAAAGAAGCAACTCAAAGCTGGAAAGAGAAAATAAAGTTGCTCAATGTCACAGGGTCGATAAGTGGAGACCTTGAGATTTGAACCCAGAGCAATGCATCTCCAGAATGTGGGTACTCTACCATCCCTTATCTGGTGCCTAGAAAGGAGTATAGGATTCCTGCTCAACAGCCAGGGTCCCCTTCAACTCTGCCATGCTTCTCATGCAGGCTGAGATCAAAGGGCCTCCAAATTTGGCCTTATCTGTCTTTCCAAAATCATCTCCCACCTTTAGTGTGGGTTCTGCTCCAGCCAACTTTGACTCTTGGCAGTTTCCCAAACATACTCTACATTAACTTCATTTGCTCACCTTCTTTCTTGTCACATAAATACCCTTTTTCTGTCCCTGCAAAGTTCAAATCATCATCACTAGTGTGCTGAGCGGGAAGGATTTCTTCAGTTTTTATTTCTAGTGCCACCCCCTCCATGAGGCTTTATTTTATTCTGCCCCAACAGTGATCTACCTCTTCTCTGAATTCTCATTCCCCTAGATTTGCAATGTGGTATGTATGTATGTATGTGTTTGTTTATTTATTTTTACTCTCCGGTCTGTATTTGAAATCAAAATTCACCAATATTTCCCTGATACAATGGTAGACACCTGACTATCACACCTCTTAATATTTTGCTACTGCTCAATACTCTGGATCCCCAACTTTACCTTGCTCATGGCAAATAATTAATAAAAATTTAGAGAGAACTACAATGTGTTTAGCCTACTTTAATGTGTCAAGCAACGTGCTTGGAACTTTATAGTTAGTATTTACCTAGCTAGGAAGATGGCAGAGCAGGGATTTCAAAACCTGTCTGCCCATTGTCAAGGTCCTTATTCTCTTAGAGGAACAGTATGGCCTGATAAGTTACGTATTTTTCGGGATGCCATCACGTCCCACTTTAAATGTGGCTGAGCCTTTGACCTGTTTGTGACATTGAGTCCAACTCCTTGGAAATGTTTAAAGATGAACGAAACTCATCTTCCCCTGTTAGGACAGCTGCTTCCATGATGACATTCTGGAGGGCAGCCAGCCCCACTGTGCTGAGGCCAGGCAGGATGTGTGGGGAATAGACGGATGACAGAAGGCCACCTAATCAGGTGCTGTCTGATGAACTGAAGTAGAAACACTGTAAACACAATGGGTCAAAGGAAGGAGAGGCACACAATTTCAGCCAAGGCCACAAGGCCAGAAAATTCTGGAAAATATAACTACAGCATACACAAGCATTTATAGTCTAACATTTAAAGATAGGGCAGTAGATTATAAACAGACTACGGCACAGTTCTTGGGAGAGGGGCAAGTCGTCAGAGAAGGGGAATCAAGGCTATATTTAACAACAAACACAGTTAAGAACAAGCTTCGTACTTATTCTTCCCAGAAAGTACTTCTGGCAATATCTTATTTGCTGTATCCAGAATCAGTAGTTTCACCAATAACTTCAAAAATGAAGGATATGAGTCTGTGTCTTAATACTAAAAGCATGACTTTGCACAGGCACTCACCCTATTATGTAACTGAACAGTGTAGGGAAGAGTATATTTAATGTAAGAGGAAAAAAGCCCTCTGCCCCTGTAAAGTCCAAATTCTAAAAATGGCTTAATCGGCCAACTGTGAAAAAAGGCTTTGAACATCTCCACACACCTGGATCCTTCTTCTCGTCACTCACTTATTGCCACTGCAACTCCTACCACGTGAGAGTCAGCATTGCCAGAAACATTAATTACTCTCAGGTGAAAATGGCATTATATTTAATATTCCTTTACTCCTAATCCTATCATTCTCCAAAGTACAATGAAGACATGGGCAGGCTTGGGGATCTGAAGTGCTTATGTTTCAAAGGTGACACATTCCATTGCCACCACAAGTTCTGCTATATCTGGGAAGAGGTCACCCTTTGAAATTCTATATGCAATTTTTGGCAATAGAATGGTGTTACTTTTTTTTTAACCCTCCTAAAAAAAGAATACTGAAGTTATTTTCTCTCTTGCCAAAAGAGGAGGAAAAAAATGAAAAGGAGAAATCAGTTGGAGATTTGATTGCACAGACTTGGGAAGAGAGAGGCATTGCCATACCATGGTGGATGACTCATCTAGCCCTTAATCTTGGCTCCAAACCCTGGCCTCTGCCTGAGGATTCAGAGAAAGGCAAAACGCCATTGTCACTTGGAAGCCATTTATTTAACAAGGTTTTCCTGACTTAAACCCTCTCTTTACTTCAATCCTGTACATGGGAGTACTCTGGTTTATGAAAGAATAAGGGCTTTTAAAAGAACCTTCCAGAACTCAACCTCTGTTAAAAAATAATAATAATAATAATAATAATAATGTTTGTTTTGTCAGCCCCAAGGGTTTGTAGGCAGAGCATCAAGGAAAAACAATAAATTGCCATCTTTATCCATGTCAGTCAAAGTTCTATTTCTAAGGATCTCTTCCCTGAGAACAACAGTGAGGTCCCAGATATCAAAATATGTATAAGAATGTTGTTTAGTTTAATACTCAACATACACAAACCATGTGCCTAGCACCATGCCAAGGGTTGTACATGTCAGAAATTAGGACAAAGTTATGCCAACGAAAATATTAACAAGAATGATGGTTAATACAATGTGGCAAGTACCTGAAGAGGATTGTTATTAA